CCCATCTATGCAGCTGTTAATGTGAGGCCCAATGTTAGTGGAGATGACTTTGCAGGTATAATAAGGCAGGTTTATTTCTCATATATCAAAATCTGTAAGTAGAATGATTATTAAATGATTAAATGATCTCTAAGTAAGAAATGATTATTTCTTGAGCTGTGGTAATGCTCACACAGAACAGAGGTAATTTCCCTTGCCCATGAAAACAAAACTCCAAATTGAAGTAAATGGATCAGAGAGCTATTGATTAAGGAACTAACAATGATAGTATATGTGTGTGTGTGTGGGCTCATTGGTAGTAGAGAGTATAGAATAGGTTTAGCTGACCCAGGAAACATTTTGCATGAGTGTCCCTCCCCCCATTTTATTTTACTCCCTTGTATGCCATCTTCTTTTTAAATTCCACAGTGTAGTGTTTCCTCCATAGTGCATTTTCCCTAACTAATACTGAATGTTTGGGTGACAGCTAAGCCAGCCTTTTCACAGTGAAGGGAGGCGCAGTGAGTGTGTTTACTGAAGTGTCTTATTTGGTGATGGTGGTTTCCCCCCCTCTCAGAATGGTGCGAGTTCACTCCATATGAAGTCGGATTTCGCAAGTATGGTGCTTTTATCCGAACGGAAGATTTTGACAGTGAGTTCTTCATGGGACGGCTGATTAAGAAACATCCTGAACCCCGGATCTGCTGTCTTCTGGGTATGAACCGTAGCACCAGTCACTGTGTATTAGGCATAGTTATATACATCCATGAAGGATATTCTATGATTTTTCCCTTCTGATGCATCAGTTGTAGCTCACTGAAATTAGGAAGGGATCCTGCCCTCCATGTAATCTTGATGGTTTCCTCTTGCAGTCCCAGCACCTAGGGGAGGGGAGAGGGTAGCGAAGGTGAAGGTTCCCTCCTATAACAACAATCTTTGGAATAAAAATGGCCACAACTTTATTGTTTACAGCCGTAAGAAGCCTTGGCATAGCATGGGACAACCAGATCCTGGCACTGACTGACCTGCCTGCCAATTGATGTACCTCAGCCCACCCAAGCCCACCTGCTGGGGTGGGGGAGAACCATAGGATGGCAGATTCCACAAGGACAATCACCACTAAGTGGTGTCCCCGGCCACTTGAGCATCAGGGTAACCAGTGGCAGTCCCCAAGCTGGGAATGCCCCTTGAAAGCCCTCACCCCAGGATCCTTTAAGGGGATCACCATACATAGGGAAAATGGGCACACAGGCCAGTTTTCCTAAAATGGATCCAGCCCCATGTGGATACTGCCCCAGGATGTGACAGATAAATGAAGCAAAAACCTCCTGAACAGGAACCGCGCCTATGCATTCCCCACCATGGTACCCTCCCCCCTAGTGACAACAATCTGCATACACCACATGCATTCTTCCCCTAAGGCATTAACATTCAGGAAGGGATGGGTGGGCAAATGATCCCACATGGCCAGGATCACTAGCCTGGGGTAGTGGTGGGAGAACTACGTGGACTGCTTCATCCATGAGTTGGCCAGAGTTAGGGAAAAGAGTAAACCGAGGACCTTTGTATCAGCCACTGGCACTAGTGTTGTCTGACTTCAGGCTAGGAGGATTATGAGTTGTGACTATAAATGTCCCAACTCTTGAGAGCCCGTTTGGTGTAGTGGTTAAGAGCAACTGACTCTAATCTGGACAATCGGGTTTGATTCCTCACTCCTCCACATGCAGCCAGCTGGGTGACCTTGGGTCAGTCACAGTTCGTTCTCTCAGAGCTATTTTCTCAAGATCAGTTCTCTCAGCGCTCTCTCAACCCCACCTACCTCACAGGGTGCCCATTGCAGGGAGAGGAAGGGAAGGAGATTGTAAGCCACTCTAAGACTCTGAGGAGGTGGCCCTCTCCCCCACTCCCTTCCATGGCCCAGTTCATGTTCCATCGTAGGCCGTCCTGGGAGGGGGCAGGCCTGAATTTCGCTCCATCGCAGCTGCCTAGCATCTCAGCTGCCCATGCGGCCTGACCTTCTTTGCCAGACATAGTCATCCATGGCTGTCATCACCTTCACTGGGTCTCACCGCCTTTGCAGGACCGCAAACGGGACCTGTGGGTGAGTCAGGGCCCAGCTTCTTCTAAGAAACTAGGAACTGATGTAATCATGGGCAGATGATTAGATTGTGGGAAATTACATTTTATTATTTTTATCTTGGAATGATAGGGTGGCTTGATTTTGTCTCATTGAGTTTGCGTGGGGAGGAGAAAGAACACCAGCAGTAGCTGCAGCTACCCGGTTTACATGAGGCTTGGGGAGATGGCTTCAGTCATTATTTCTCCATATTCTGTAACTTCTTGTTGCTGTCAGGAAGGAGAAAGACTGGGGGAAAGTTTCAGACTTGGCCTAATGAGGAGGACTCTCCTCAACTCTTCCTGTCAGAATCTTGGGGCAGTAGAAAAACCAGCTGCAACAGCTGGGCCTGCAGGAACACTGAACACTTTGAATTTGGAAGGAGGGCAAAGATTTTGTCCTTTTATCACCTGTTCCTCAGTTCTGCATGAACCATTGAGGTACACCATCTTTGTTGCTATTATATGAATTGTGTTTTGTTATGGATTTGCTGTACAAGCTACTTGGGGGGGTCAGTCTGGTTTAAAAGTAGGCTATAAACCTAAAACAAACAAACCATACATTGACTGTTATATTCAGAGCTGAGAAGGGATTTCCCTGAAGATGAGATTGACAGTGACCATGGGTAGACTTTTCTTGTCTTCCATATGACTGGTTATGGGAGTCATGGCAAGCCATTTGGCCTGTTCAACACTATCATTTTGAGATACGCTGTTCTCAAGACACATTCCTAGGAATACCAGCCACCAGTGTCTTAACACATCTTTGGCCTAGTGGCTTTCTGTATGCCTTCCTCCTACTTCCCAGAACTGTCGGAAAGATTTTCCAAGGGAAAGCAAGAGTGACCAAGGCATTTTAACAATCTCTTCCCCAGTCACTGAAAATTGCGTGTAGTCCTCTGAATACTGTGTGGGCCATGGATTTGGAAAACCGTTTGAAATTTCACATCAGGTGCACTTTCTTTGGATGGCATTGGGCAAGTCTTGGTTCCTTGTCAGCAGTCTGTAAAATGGGAATAATAATAATAATCATCATCATCTGTATCTTTCTGCTTGTTGTAGGTATGCACTGTGATAATCTGTGATGAAAATTAGAAATGAACCTGTTTGAGAGTGAAGCTCCTATGAGGAGTATTTCTCAGAAGCTTTAGTGCTATGTATAGTATGCTAGCTCTGACCTGAATAGCCCAGGCTGGCCTTATCTCGTCAGAACTTGGAAGCTAAGCAGGGTTGGCTTTGATCAGTACTTGGATGGGAGACCACTAAGGAATACGTGGAGGCAGGCAATGGCAAACCAACCCTGAATGTCTCTTGCCTTGAAAATTCCATGGGGTTGTCATAAGTCAGCTGTGACGTGATGGCAAAAACAAACAAAACCCTCCAACCCCCAAAATAGCATGCTAGGTGTTGCCTTGAAACTGGATTTTTTTTGTTTTGTTTTGAACTTTACTTTTAAAAGGAAGGAGTATGCCAATGCCAAAAGTTCTCACAGACTTTTCCCATGCCTGAGCAAGCAGGATGGTGATATTCCTCATATTCTTTTGTAAACATTGTAATTGTATTCATTTCCTCCTAATATATCTGTACTAGGGTCATGTTGCCTCTAAATCATTTAGCAGCCAATTACACCCGAGGTATGTTGGCAGAATCACAGCCCACAGGTTTAAGGAGGGAGGACCAACTTGTTCTTGAAGCATGGCATGTCCATTATTTCAGGTGAACTGGTTTGAAATAATATTTTGCTTTGAAATTCTACAGAAGGAAGCATATAAATTAAAAGTCTGCAGCAAAGAGCCACTCATACCTCCTGCATGTGGTGGAGCTGGGGTTTGTCATTAACCAAAACAAGATAAGGATATATCTTTTATCAAGATTGTGTGCTTCTGAGTTTGGTTTGAGAATCCCATGAGACTGCATTAAAACTTTCCCCATTTCTGTAGGAATGTGGGGCAGTGCCTTTGCAGCAAGCTTGGATGATGTCTTTCTGAAGGTGGTTGGTTCAGGATTGAACTTTCTAGAATCTCTGGGTGATGTTGTCAAAGTTATAGGTACGTATGGAAGTTGTACAACAATATTTTGCATTGTGTAGCCTTTGTGGTAGAAGCTAGATTTTAAATGGGTGGACTTCATCATCAGATATGTGAACTTTATCATTAATAAAATATAAATGTTTGAAAAAATACTTATGGAACAGTCAGTTATAGAAGAAATGTGCATGGAATAGTTGAATCTGTGTACAAAATGAACATTCCTCCCCAGCCCTTAGCTAAGCCTTAAGCAATTTTGGGACAATGATTTCCATTCCAGGAGGTATTAACCTAGTTTTCAAAAATTTTGAAAAAAAATGTAATTCTGAGCATACTTTATTGGAAGTAAATCCACTGTAAATAAAGCCAGCCTGGAATCCCATGTGAAAATTAAAAGTCAAGCCCAGGTATCTTGACTTCTTTCTTGGTAGCTTAATTCAAAGTAATTTCTTTTCCTTCTGTATACATTGTTGCCCTGTGTTACAGTGAGTGTGGTGCACTAGACAGAGTTGTCTCTTAGACTGGAGACCAGTCCCTGGCCAGTTAGGGAGCTCACTGACTGCCTTGAGGCCAGTCACTGTTTCCTAACCTAACATACTTCACTGGGTTATTATAAGGATAAAATAGGGGGATATAGGTATTCTAATTTGATCTAGTCCACTGTCACTATAGTGCCTTCATAGAGGGATCTCTGTCAGGTCCTGCTTCTCGACCTTCTTTTGTTGTGCACATAGAAGGCACTTAATATATCAGGCAGTTACAGAGAATGTGAGATTTAGGCTGTGGTCACACACACTAAATAATCTACTTTCAATCCACTTTCTTTGCACTTTCCAACTGGATTTTACTGTGTGAACTGGCAAAATCCAGTTGGAAAGTTCATTGGAAGTGGATTATTTAGTGTGTGTGACTGCAGCTTTAAACACACCTCTCGTATCCCCGTCTAGCCATGTTGCTTTGTCTTGAACGTGTGTTTAACCAAGTCGGTGTGACATGGAGGAAAGGCAGTGGGGCTTGATTGATGTGTGCGCACAACTTTCTCATTGCCCCTGATGGCCAGTTACATTGCAAGCACCATGAAAGGAGCATAGAAAACATAGTTCCCTTCTGCCCTGAAAGATCTCTCTACATGTGAGTACTGCATTTTTTGTAGGCTGGATTGAATCCCTAATGCACACATTTTACTTTGTCGTAGTTTTTCCCCTATCAGTTGTCATTGGCAATACTACAATGACTTGTTGCTAGTTAATACTGGGTATTGCAGACATAGAGTTATAAGTATCAGATCATGTGGCAGCATAACATTTTACAGAAATTCAAGTTCTAAACGGCTGTATTTGCTATCAGTCATAGTGTCATTTTGGACAAGATACATAAACCTTTGAGTATTACAATTTGAGCTTTGTTCTGAATTATTTCATATTTTTCGTTTGGGGGGAAGTTTGTCAAGAAGTAAAATATCAAATATTGTCGTTAACAGCGGGACATAAAATGTAAACAGTGCTCCTGCTAGCTGAAATGACTGATTTCATGTTGTGGAAAAACTCACAGCCTATTTTGATGAATAAACAAATAGTTACCTTTACCCCAATGGTTTGTGATTACAGATGATAGTAAACGATTCCATTTCCGAGATCCTATGAGGCTGAAGACTCGTCTGGTTATACCAGGTGGACCATTACTGCAAACCTTCCAGGATTTTTTCAAGTCACGAGTTACAGCTGGGGAAACCTTCAATTTCATGCAGGGCTTGTTCCTCCACAGGGATTACGTCAACCTTAATAAATTTGTGGCCTGGAAAGGTAATTTAAAGAAATCTGATCAACATTTGGGTTTTCAGTCTCTGTATGAAATCCATAGCAGGAAAATTTCTGTGATTAGACATTATCAAGGTACAAGCAAGTTGTCCCCCTTATTACAAGGCATTCAATTTCAATCTATTTTCAATTTCAGCAAAAGTCTTAATTATTGCTCTTGTTTCACCTTTGTTAAAATAGTTTTAACCATTAGTTGTGATTCCTCTACCAGGCACCCATTTAGATGCTTTTCCTAATCAGCTGACTCCAATGGAAGAGAACCTCTACCTGGTGGATGGTGGTTTTTCCATCAATTCTGCCTTTCCCTTGGTTCTTCAACCAGAACGAGATGTTGATATCATTCTGTCATTCAATTACTCTTGGGAAGCGCCTTTTGAGGTGAGTGACAGAGTAGTACAGGGTTTACTTGTGACAACATTATAATACTTTATGTTATAATCCTGTCTGTACTGAGTTTGTGTGGAAGGGCACAGCACAGAAGCCTCACATGTGTTTGTGCACTTTAGAGAGTCATAAGAACATAACATAAGAACATAAGAGATGCCAATGTTGGATCAGGCCAAAGGCCCATCCAGTCCAACACTCTGTATCCCACAGTGGCCAGAAATACCAGTGCCATCAGGAGGTCCACCAGTGGGGCCAGGACATTAGAAGACCTCCCACTGTTGACCCCCCCCCAAGCACCAAGATGACAGAGCATCACTTGCCCCAGAGTCCCTATCTATACCTTGTGGCTAATAGCCACTGATGGACCTCTGCTCCATATGCTTATCTAATTCCCTTTTGAAGCCGTCCATGCTTGTAGCTGCCACCACTTCCTGTGGCAGTGAATTCCAAGTGTTAATCACTCTTTGGGTGAAGAAGTACTTCCTTTTATCCGTTCTAACCCGACCGCTCAGCAATTTCATGGAGTGCCCACGGGTTCTTGTATTGTGAGAAAGGGAGAAAAGTACCTCTTTCTCTACCTGCTCTTTCCCATGCATAATCTTATAAACCTCAATCATGTCACCCCTCAGTCGTCGTTTCTCCAAGCTAAAGAGCCCTAAGCGCCTTAACCGTTCCTCATAGGGAAAGTGTTCCAACCCTTTTATCATTCGAGTTGCTCTTTTCTGCACTTTTTCCAAAGCTATAATATCCTTTTTAAGGTGTGGTGACCAGAATTGCACACAGTATTCCAGATGAGGTCGCACCATTGATTTATATAGCGGCATTATGATATTGGCTGATCTGTTTACAATACCCTTCCTAATAATCCCCAGCATAGCATTGGCCTTCTTTATTGCAGTCACACACTGTCTCGACATTTTCAGTGAGTTATCTACTACAACTCCAAGATCTCTCTCTTGATCTGTCTCTGCCAGTTCAGACCCCATCAACGTGTATTTATAGTTAGGATTTTTGGCTCCAATGTGCATCACCTTGCACTTGGCCACATTGAACCCCATTTGCCATGTTGACGCCCACTCGCCCAACTTTGACAGATCCCTTTGGAGTGCCTCACAATCCTCACTGGTTTTCACCACCCTGAACAACTTCGTATCATCCGCAAATTTAGCCACTTCACTGCTTACTCCCAACTCCAAATCATTAATGAACAAGTTAAAAAGCAGTGGACCAAGTACTGATCCCTGTGGTACCCCACTGCTTACACCCCTCCACTGGGAGAACTGCCCATTTATACTCACTCTCTGTTTTCTATTAATTAGCCAGTTTTTGATCCATAAAAGGACTTGTCCTTTTATCCCATGATTTTTGAGCTTGCTTAGGAGCCTTTGATGAGGAACTTTATCAAAAGCTTTCTGGAAGTCAAGGTAAACAATATCTATTGGATCCCCCTTGTCCACATGTTTGTTCACCCCCTCAAAGAACATTAACAGGTTAGTGAGACAAGATCTTCCCTTACAGAACCCATGTTGAGTCTGCCTCAATAGGTTTTGTTCATCTATGTGCCTACTAATTCTTTCCTTAATAATGGTTTCCACCAATTTACCCGGTATCGACGTCAGACTGACAGGCCTGTAATTTCCCGGATCTCCTCTGGAACCCTTTTTAAAGATGGGAGTGACATTAGCTACCTTCCAGTCCTCAGGAATGGAGGCTGATTTTAAGGAGAGATTACATATTTTTGTCAGGAGATCCACAAGTTCACAATTGAGTTCTTTCAGAACTCTTGGATGTATGCCATCTGGGCCTGGTGATTTATCAGTTTTTAAGTTGTTTATCAGTTTTAGGACCTCCTCTCTCGTCACCTCAATCTGACTCAGGTCTTTCAACACCCCTCCCGAACTCAGCGGCTCTGGAGTGGGCAAGCACCTCTCATCTTCCACAGTGAAGACGGAGGCAAAAAATGCATTTAGCTTCTCAGCCATTTCCCTATCATCCTTCAGTACTCCTTTTACCCCTTGGTCATCCAAGGGCCCCACTGCCTCCCTGGCTGGTTTCCTGTTTCTAATGTATTTGAAGAAAGTTTTATTGTTGGTCTTTACATTTTTTGCTATATGCTCCTCATATTCCCTTTTTGCATGCCTGACCACAGACTTGCATTTTATTTGCCATAGCCTGTGTTCTGTTTTATCAGCCTCACTGTGACTAGCTTTCCACCGCTTAAAGGAATCCTTTTTACCTTTTACAGCTTCCATTACTTTGTTTGTTAACCATGTAGGCTTTTTCTTATACCTGTTTGTGCCTTTCCTAACCTGCGGAATATATTTTATTTGAGCTTCTAGAATTGTAGTTTTAAACAGTTTCCAAGCTTCCCCAATGGTTTTGACCCTTTCTACTTTTCCCTTCAGTTTCCTCCCCACAGTCAGATGGAGGAAGGTGTGATGTCCCAATCTGAATGTAGGAGGAGCATGGAACTACCTACTTCTTTGAGAGGCAACGGCCTGCTAAGAGTCTAGTTACTGTAAATGTAGCTGAAAGAGTAGTTTAGTCCACTTGTACCCTAGGGGGAGCTGTGACTCTGAGTGAAGGGCAGGATATAAATCCAACTCTTCGTCATCTTTGTCTTCTTCATCATCTTCATCTTCTTCGTCATCTCTGTCGTCGTCTTGTTCCCTCTGACCAGCCTCAGTGACATGGGGAGTCAGATACACATGACTCCTGTGGTGCCATGCTGATCAACTCTAATGTTCACCCAGCTCCTGCCTGGAGCGAGAATAGCTTTATTTATTAATTAAAATATTTATACCCTGTCTTTCCGTACTATATATCCAAAAGGAAGATGACCCTGAATATAAAACTATCACCCTAAAAAGTTATATGCAATCCATTTTTCATTACTGTACATAACTGTAACTTGTATATGTATGGCACATGTGAAGAAATCCCAACAATTTTCTTTTAAAGTAAATAGGGCATACATATTTCATTTTATATATTTGCATGGGGTTTGTGCCATTATAGCTATATAAAACCAGTAATTAAATTAAACAAACTTTCTAAAAAGTGTTTTTAGCCTAAAAATGTATTATTCTGATCACGTATAAGGCAGATGTTTTATCACAAACACTTGAAATTTCTATGTTCCATTGGGACCAGTTACTGAAAATGTCCTCCTGATTATTCTATTGATTCATCATCACATTTGACCATCAAGGACATGCAGTGAGGTATGCTTGGCAGTTGCCCTGCAATCTTGGAAACATGTTCCCATGGAGAAAGCATGAGCTCCTTTTCCAAGTTTTGATTGGGTTTGTCTGGAGATAAACCTTTACATTTTTTGATTGGATGAAGTAAAGATTAATCATACATTTTATATGGCTTGGTTTTGTGTTTGAGGATATATTTTTTTAATTGTTTTGGCTGATTTTTCAATTGTAATAAATGTTGATGATGATGAGCCTTAACAATGAGGCAAAATAAGTGGGTGGGATCCAAACAAACGTTAGTTACATTTCTTCTAGTTTTTATATGAAAGAGGGTTTGAATGGAAACAGTAAAGCAAACTCCTGACTCAACAGGAGAAGAGCAAATAATAGGAACTACATCCTCTCCTTTTTGGTTTGTTTGTTTAGCTTGTTTGGGGAAAAACAGAAAAATGATGAAACCTTTCAGAGATTACCTGTCTATTGTCCTGTCAGTAGATTATATCATGAGGAAAATGCTAATTTATGTTTCTAAAATGAGTTCTGTGATATTGACTAACGTATGCCACAATGAAGGAATGTCGCAAGAGACGTATCATTCCAAAATATGCGCATAAATTTTCTATTGATGAAATTGTCTTTTTTGTTTGACCTGCAGTGTGAATGCAGCTGAGGTTTGTGAATCAAGATTATCAAATTAGTAAAAACTACTTATTTTGTATATTTATATCCCTGCCCAAATATGTTCCCAAGGCAGTTTACAATACTTAAATACTTAAAATAATACTCTGAGCAATGGATATTTACATAGCAGTAGTGATTATACTATAATTAAAATAGTGGGATAGATCCTGCAGAAAATTTCTGCTAACAGAAAGAGGGGCGCTTTCCACCAATTTCGCTCTGTTGCTGCAGGAGCTGGCTCCCCCCTTTGGCAGGACGGCTGGGGAAGGGAAGGGAAGGCTTTTGAAGATGCCTCCCCACTTTTGCTTCCCCAGCCAGCCTGCCAACCCCTTCTCTCTGGAGTCACGCTGCAGCACGATCTTCCCATTATATTCTATGCGGCCATAGAATATAATGGGAAGATCGCTCTGCTGCTGCGGTGCGACTCTAGAGAGGAGGAGCTGGGGGGTGGGGCGGGGAACTGGGGGCAGGGCTTGTGCCTGCTCCTGGGCTGCCGGAGCGGTGCTCCAGTGCACTCTGGTTCCAAATGATCCCCTGGACTTAGGTGATACAAACAATCCCAAGGAGGCTCCAAGTTATCCAGATGTTAAGTGTAATTGAATGCCTGGCAAAACAGCTCTGTCTTGCAGGCGCTATGGAATTGAAGTAAACTCTGCACGGCCCTGGTGTCCTCATGGAGCTCGTTCCACTAGCATGGCGCTGCCACAGAAAAGGCTTTAGCCCTGGTAGTGGCCAGTCTGGCCTCTTTAGGGCCAGGGAATACTAGAAGGTTTTGTGTCCCTGAACACAGTGCTCTCTGGGGAATGTGTGGGGAAAGGCGGTCCGTCAGGTATGCTGGCCCCTGACCATATAGGAATTTATAGGTAAGCAGCAGCACTTTGAAGCGAATTCGGTATCCTATAGGCAGCCAGTGTAATACCTTCAGCACAGGCTGTATGTGTTCTCATGGAGAGAGACCCAACAACAGCCTGGCTGCCGCATTCTGCACCAGCTGCAGCTTCCCTACTTGGGACAAGGGCAGCCCCATGTAGAGAGCATTACAGTAGTCTAATCTTGAGGTGACCATTGTGTGGATCACCATTGCCAAGTTGCTGCGTTCAAGGAAGGGAACCAACTGCCTAATCAGTTGAAGATGGTAAAAGGCTGACTTGGCAGTGGCTGCTACCTGGGCCTCCATCGTTAAGGAGGCATCCAAGAGCACTCCCAAACTCCTAAACTCTGGCACTAGCACCAAAGGCGCCCCATCGAAAGTCAGGAGATCCCTAACCTCGGGCCACTACGACTCAGGCACAGAACCTCTGTCTTCATCGGATTCAGTTTCAGTTGACTCAGCCACAGCTTGTAATGCCAGGTCCAAATCTTCCAGCCCAGAGTCTGACTGACTACCCACAACAGATACAGCTGGATATTATCTGTGTACTGGTGACAACTCAGTCCGTAGCTCTGAGCAATCTGGGCAAGGGGGTGCATATATATGTTAAATAACATCAGGGATAGAACCACCCCTTGAGGCACTCCACAAGTCAGCGGGTACCTTTGGGATAATTCTTCCCCAAGCGCCACACTTTGTGCCCGGCCCTGGAGGAAGGAGGCAAGCCATTGTAAGGCAAGCCCCTGGAGTCCAGTGTCAGCAAGGCAGTGGACCAGTAATTGATGGTCGACTGTGTCGAACACTGCCATCAGGTCCAACAACAGCAGCAGTGCTATCCCATCTCGATCTAGATGTCTTCAGAGATTGTCCGTGAGAGCGACTCTCTATGCCATGGCCTGGACGAAAGCCGGACTGGAAGGGATCTAATGTGGACCTTATATTAGTTAGCTGACACCTGTAGTGGCTCCTACTTTTAGTGAACCAAGTCCTGAACAGTTAGATGCCCAAGAATTTAGCTCCAGGACAGTAAATAGAATTGAATAATGAATGAACTGGGGTAATGGGTAGAGCCACTCCGATAGTCGGTTTACACTCAGAGGAAAAAAGGAACCAACAGAAACCTCATATTAATAGGTTGAATTCAAACATTTTTTTGTTTTTTATATCCAAGCGCTTCTCCCTTCTCTTCCTGGGGTTTAATTGAAGCAAGAATAATGGGTTGTAGATAAATATAGGTACTTACCCTTTCCCCCCCTCCTATTCTGACTACAGGTCCTACAACTGACACAGAAATACTGCAAAGAACGGGAGATACCATTTCCAAAAATTATCTTGAACAAAGAAGATGAGGAGCATCCTAAAGAGTGTTACATGTTTATCGATGCTGAGAATGCAAGGGCCCCCATAGTCCTTCACTTCCCTCTAGTTAATGACACATTCTACAAATACAAAGCACCAGGTAATGATGAGTGGTTAAATGTCCTGCTTACTTCCCAGGCAGAATGTTGGATTTGCTGAGTGTTTTGAACTCTTATCAAGTTTTGGTGGTATCATTAAGCTGTTGTATAAAAAGCAGAAGTTTTCTATTTGGATGAGAAGATTAATTGGGTGCCCTCAAAACAGCCTATTTTAAGGAGCAGAACTGGCAAGTCTAAATAGAAAATTGCTAGCTTCTTTATGAACCAAGTTCTACCCTACCAACCAGTTCTGTCATGCTTCAGATTTAATTTAATATTTCACTATTTAAATTTAGCTAAAGGGATGTCTTAAAGACATTCATGTTTACATATTGTGAAACATACAGGTCTTTATTTTTGCCATAAGGCAAGTTAGAGCACTCAGTCTTTCGTTCTCTCTCTCTTCTAAACAATATCTTATTTTGTGGAATCGTACAGACTTTTTTGTAATTTTGAGGAGTAATTTGGGATTAACTTGTTATCATGTTTAAAGCCAAGGTGCTCACCAAATATTCTTTTTTCTCCCCCCCCCCCATGGCTACAGGAAAAGAACGTGAATCAGAAGAGGAGGTAGAGTTTGGTGATTTTGCAGTTGAAGGAAAAGATTCACCATACCGAACACTAAATTTCACATTTGAGCCCCGTGAATTTGACAGACTGGTAGAATTGAATTGTTACAATGTGCTGAATAATAAGGATGCAATTTTGGAAGCATTAAATTTGGCTTTAAACAGGCGAAAGTTGAAAAATGATAATAACAGGAGGGGATAAGTGCTTCATGAACAATTCAGGTAGAAATAATGAGCCTACAAAGTACCTTTTTGTGTGAATGGAAATTGAACCACTGAACTCCCTTCACATTGCACTGAAAACTGAGTTTGCATACCAAAGAAACACTTTACTCTTACCTGATTCTGTCTTCAGTTCTCTACAGCAGACGGGGGTCATTTCGTAGAAAAAGAGGTGCAGCAGCTCATCAGCATAACTTATTTGCATATGTCACACCCCGTGACATCACCGGACGTGTGTCAGAAGGCAACACCCACCGCTCCACTGGACTGTTTTGGATTGCTAGCTATTGGGGAGGGGGCGTGCAGATCTGCCCTCACAGAGGAGGGAGAGCTTGTACCTGAATAAAACTTGGTCTTAAAGGTGCCACTGGACTGTTTTGGGCCGGGGGGCTGGAGGGGGGAGCTCTGCAACTTACCTGACTGCTTCTTGCTCTGATTGAGGGCTGCTGGGAGCAGGGGGAGGGGCTTGATGCATGTGCCCATCCCATGGGCTCTTTACTGTCGGAGCTCCGCTCCTGTGCGCTCCTGCAGGAAATGACCCCTGACAGCAGACATATGGGAATATGCCAGTAGTTATGCAATGATACAAAACCTGTGTTCCAGAAGACAGACAGTGCAATCCTGAGCAAGTCTACTCAGAATTCTACGAAAGACTATTTAGTGGAGCTTACCCCCAGCAAAGTGTTCTTAGTATTGTGCTGAAAGGCTGCATGTCCCTTCAGGGAACAAGATTTCCTCTCTGTATTGGGAGTCATTCAGGTGGCTACCAAAATACTAGCTCTTGCAGTCAGTAGCTGTGGTGTTGCATATGGGTGTCCACTGGAAGCTAAATGAGGCTATTTTCACACAGAGGTTTCCTTGATTGCCTTTCTGCAGTGCTGTGTTCAGGAGTGTCCTTATGATGTTGTTGTCTGGTTCATCCCATTTCGATATTATAGCCCCAGTTTTCCTGTGAGCACATATGGTTGTCTCTCTCTACCATGGCTGAACTTTAGCCAGCCATTGTGTATTGGGAGTGAGAAGGGCTTCCATCTCTGCCTTCCCACTCTCTCCTCAGCAGTTGTTCAGGTGACAGAATTGGATAGCCAAGGAGCCTAGAGGGGAACAAATTGGTTGTGGAGGGAGTAAAATCTCTACCACCTCACCATGCCAACTTGCTCTTTTCCCTGGTGGCTGTCATGTGATGGTAGTTTTACTCTCTTCAGCCAGCCTGCTGTGTTCCCAACAGCCACCCATGGGCTGGGATGCAAGTGCAAAGGCTGTGGCTAAGGGTGAGGGATTGTTGAAGAGGATGAGCCCTTTACGTTTTTTCCTGGCATAAGGCCTACACCTCAGGGAAGCTCTGCTATGCAAATGGCCTTTCCCACTTTCCTGGAACATGGCAGGGGGGCACATTGGGGAATGGTGCTCAGGAGAGTCACAGGTGGTATGTGAAAGAGTATCACTGGGCCAGAGATGTAGTTTAAAAAATGAAATCTAGGAATTAGTATGTTATTGCAGTACATGGTTATAATGTTATGATGCTATAGCACTGTATCCATTACTGATTTTTTTAAGCTTGAAAAGGCTCTCCAGGGGTAGAAGGGGAATGGCTGCTAGGGAGGTCTAAGGCAAGGATATTGAGGGGGAAACGTATGTTTGGATGCTGTGTAGGATAGCTACATGAAGAACCATCTCCATGAGGAAGCAGTCCTATATAAGACTGCAGATATTGTCTTGTGAGCCATTCAATTTTGATTCTCGGTTAACAGCAATGAATTGGTCCCAGAGTTTGGTTGGAAAGCACATCTCCTGGAAACATTGCTGAAGCTAAGCAGGTCTGGATATGGATTTGGTTAGGGCCTAGATGGATGACCTCATAGGAATCCTCTATATACCACCGTGGGTTCCATGATGAAAGGAAGTGGGGATATAAATGTAATAAATAATAATCACTAGTTGTGGCACATTGAAAAATTAAGGTCCCTTTTATCAACTATATGTGTTGTTTTGAGACTGGTGCCTAATGCTCTTGGAACCAAATCTCTGTTTATCCCTGTTGTGTCTGTTCCTCTTCTCATCCTCTGCACATGCCCTAGCTCAGGAAGACTTGACTACAAGTATTGGCAAACTTATTTTGTATTTGTTTTTACTTGTGATATTTATAAATTGTCATGATGAATGTGATATCAGGATCATGGGATGTAGCAGGCCTATAGTAGCAGGCCTATAGCCATGGGGGATATTTGGGGAAGGTGCCCCCTGCAGATGAGCCCCACATCTCTAGGGAAGAGGCAAGACCCCACCCACCCACCCATCCCTGGTGCTCTGTGCTCCTTATCCTGCCTGCCGTGGCCTCACCGGCTCTTCCTGCTGCAACAGGAAGAGCTGGCAAGGAGCAGTGAGGCACCGGGTTAGGCAATTCTCTACGCCTCTTGCAGTGGCGGAGGCGAGCTCTACTCCTCTTACTCGTCGAGAGTTGAGAAGCAAGTGGCACCACTAGCTCACCTCACCACCACACAAGGTGTAGAGAACGGCCCGCCTCGGCTCTCCTTCTCATTCAGCAGCAACATGGAGGCTGGGCGGGCGGGCTGGCACAGGTGCAGTGAGCCTCTTTCTGCTTGCTGCCCACTGCCCTGTCTGTCTAACTCCTTGGTTCTCCTTCTCCCTCTCTTT